CGTCCTAGCCACACGAACAACCCTAGTGTAAGGTTTCGTTATGGTAATAAAGTAGGACACATCACACCAGTTTCTTACACTAAATATAAGCACTTGCTTCTAAGTCAAGATAATGTGATGCATCAATCATATGAGTATTTTTATTATTTCCATAACACCCTTTGACCCAAAAAGCATTGTGTACAAAGATTTACCTTTTAAGTTCCTTGAGGAGAATGTGCTTGAAGACTTCGACTTGAGTTGAAGTATATGCACCAAGCACATAATTGGGTGAGGCATTATATAAGGGGGAAGTTTATTCTTTTCTTATCTTGATTTGAGTTTATTTTATTGCTAAAAGTTTTTTTTAAAAATTGGTATAAATAGTTGAAAATGTGATATTATTTTCTTGTTTGATATCAATTTGAATGAGCATATATCTTTTTGCCCAACTCTTTTTTATAATGTCAAAAGGGGTAAGATTATGTAGATATGCGTATGTTTAGGGGGAATTTTATTTGTGCATATCTAAAGGGGGGAATCAATATAGATTTGCATGTCTTTGTTTGATTTTTGATGCAATACTTGAGGGGGAACTAGCCTTGTATGATGCATATCTCCTAATGGGTTTATCATTATCAAAAAAGGGGAAATTGTTGGACAATGTGCTATCATGAATATATTTATTTGCAATGTCCTTTACCCATTGTCTTTTAGGTTTTGATAATAACAAAATAGTGGCAAAAGATCACCATCATATTGTGCATCAAGTCTAAGAATCAAAGCTACAACAAGTTCATATCCGTCCGTGAAGAAGGGACTTGAGCATCAATGGAAGGATCAAGAACGAAGACGTTTCCTTAGTTTGTAGTATTTTAGGACTTAGAATGTGTGTTAAAAAGTATGCCATCTTAAAGGTTCATTCATTGATAATCTTACCTCCAAAACACCTTTTAGATCAACCTTTCTGTGCTGAAGTTGCTCTTTTATCTGAATAACTTTTGGTTTATTCGAATAAGTCATGAATTCATCCAGGAACTGAAAAACGAATTTTTTATTTGAAAAAATTGGTCTTTATTCAATAAAGGACAGTATTTTTCAGTCAACAGAAGCCGTTTAACTTATTTGAACAAATGAAGACCTTATTCAAATAAACGCACAGTTTCAACTTCCAAACGTCTAGTTTTTTGAATGTTTTTCATCCCTATCAACTACCTAGCTTCTATAAACTCCCTTGTCTCGTTATTATATTAAGAGAACACCAATAACACTTTTAAGAACACATCCATTGAATATCCAAAGAGATTATACTCAATCACCTTCTAATTGATTTGATTGCTAAATCCTTTCTTGCTTGAGTTTATCCTAATTGCTTGAGTCTTTGAGTGATTTTTCCATATTCTATATGACTTCATTGTATTTGAAGCAATGTACTCCGTGTTGGGAGAATTATTCCGCTATGGTTTGTTTTCTTACTTTTTGTAAGGGATTTCTATTCTTGGTGTTAGGATTACACCAAGTGGTAGAATCTTAACGGTGTGGAAATGACACGTTAGGTGAAACAAATCCCGAGTCTTGTGAAATCAAGGCTTTGGTGGTAAGATAAGAGGCTTGTGAAATCAAGTTCTCGAGTTGTATTCTGATTGTCAAAATTCGTTAAGTTTGACGGGTTAGTGAAGGCTCGGGCACGTTTTCTTTGGGGAGTGGATGTAGGCATTTAGGCCAAACAAGTACATATTGTGTGTTCATTGCTTTTATCCTTCACTTAATTTTGTTTGTGGTATGTTGGTTTCGATCGAGAATTTCTCAAGAAAGCTTCTGTGCGAAAAATCGAGCATTTAGGCAACACCTGTATTTACCCCCCTTCTAGAGGTGTGCAAGTCGTCTAACAATTTCGAAGCTATAAAATCCTATTTTTGATACCATTTAATTATGATCAATATGAAATGATATTTGGAAATAAAAATGATGTTTTGACCAATCCAAGAACCTCGTGTGATGCATGACGGTAAGTTAGGGTGTTAACACTCGACACTAGGCTGCTATTTGTTAATGAATATTATGATGATTATTATTGATTATTGACTATGATGATTAAACCTTGATTAATACCCTTATTAAAATGATGATTATGAATAATTGAACCATGATTAAAAATGAATATATTGAGATAATTGATGATTATGAAAATTGATGTGTATTATTAAGGCTATCGAGAAGAACTCTAAGATAGATCACATGTGACTTAATTAGAATGGGCCTTGCGGGTATGATGTTTAGTGGCCTGGGTAAAAAATGTACATTGTTTAAAATACCACCCACCCAACAATGAGTAGTCCAATGTTCGGTTTCTTCTATACCTTAAGATAAGACCAGTTTAAGATTTGGAAAAACATTTTAAACTGTACCTTAAACTAGGATTACTTTAAGTGTTGGTAAATAACATGAACTGTACCTTAAACTAGGAATACTTTAAGAGTTGGTTAGATATATGTACCTTAAACTAATTATAGTTTAAGTGTGGGTTAAAAATATTTCTTTAGACTAAGAATAAGTTTAAGAGCTTTGTTATCAATATGATTTGGCCTTATATTAAGAATGATTTAAGAGCACTGTTGAAATTATGAATATTGAATATCTGAATTGAATATCATGTGCATGATATCAAATGATTTGATTATGAATTGAGATTCAATTTATGTGGATGTTCGATGGACTAGATATCCTTACTCAACTTCACCGCTGTTCGTGTAGTATGTTTTATTTGCTACACGCAGGTAAATAGAAAGAATGATGTGACATGATCGTGGCGGTAGACAAACACGAGATTGTCGTGATGGATGTGATGGTTTTGATTTATTATTTCAAAAGACAAAAATTATTTATGTTTTCTGATTGTGATATGTTAAAACTTTCCGCAACATTGAAAATTCCGTAATGTTTCTATTACGAATTATATTATTGTGATTAATAAAACTGTTTGAAATGTTTTAAGTTTTTATGATAACCAAGTTTATACTTTAGTCCGAAAGGGGCTACAGACCTGAACGGATTAGGATGTTACATTTTGGTATCAGAGCAAATCAAAATTAAATTTAAAAATATATATTATATATATTTCGACTATTAAAAAAATGTCAAACACATCCACGACTCTCGCATCCCTCTGCTCCAGAAAAGTTAATGAGAATTTATTTGATAAATATTAACTATATTAAATTCTCATTAGATGACAATTGTTTGTACTGAAATCGTATCGAGCGTAGACCCAACTCAAACTTTCATACTCGAAAAGGGACGAAAAATAAATGAAAAGTGTATGACTCCCTGATCCGTTACAACGTGCTTATCGCATCGCGAGAATGACTAAACTGAAAATATATCTGCACCATAAAATCGCATGGAAATGAGACTACCCTGAAGAAATGTTTAATGTTGATCTTGCGAACAACATCTATGAATTCAATGTCGAAGGTCCTCATGTGGACTCAACACGATCCCATCATCGATTCAACGCGAACGTTAGAATAAATAAGTCTTGTCGTTTCTTTCCAAAATCCTCTTGATTGTTTACAATTATTGCAACGGTTGTATTCCCTTGTGGTATCTATTAATCAACTCATCTACTCAAATAAAAGAATCCTAACAAAGAAATTTATTTTATTGGTAGAATGAGTCAAGAAACGACTCACAATCAAAGTAACCAAGTGCCCAATGATGAACACGTGAGTGTTCATACCGAAGCATCCAGCTTCACTCCTCTAATTTAAAATAAGATGTCAATCCCAAGAATGTCCCCCAAAACTTGGGAAATAATCTAAACACTAATGGTCAACCTGACCTTATGATTCTTGTCTTCTTGGCGAATTTGCTTCAACAAGTAGCCAACGCTGGTTTTAACCACCACCGCCGCCGCCACCGCATGTGATCACTTTTAAGACTCTAAAAGCTAATGGTACTGAAGAGTTTCTGGGAGTTCGTATAGCTGAGTCCCAGATTGCTTAGGACTAGATATAAAAGACCGCCTGAGTATTGGGAGATCTAAATGTCCCCCTAAACGACTATTCGAGGCTTGCACCCCAACCACTTCGTAAGGAAGCTTACTAATGGTGGAAACAAACTGACGAGAATGAACATACGCCAAAACCATGGACTTGGGCGTTCTTCGACTGGGCATTAAAAAAGGAGTGCATTCTTGCATGTTTCCATGAAGGGAAACGTACTGAATTTGTTGAACTGCAACATGGGGATATGACGCTCCGAGAATACCACAAAAAATTTATCCACTTTGCCAAATTCGCACCTACATTGGTAAGCACCATGGCTAATCGCATCAAGGAGTTTAGGTCAAAAGTCTGAACTAATCTCATGGTGCATGTATCCATCATCCCTACGGTAGATTTTACTACAACATATGACATGATCTCCAAGGCGTATAAGGACTTGAGTGCTTACAAAGAGTACTTGAAAATGGAAGATGTTGGCCCGAGTGTTCGTTGACCTGCGAGTTCCGCCCCAAGTGAGAAAAGACCTTTCCAAGGGACCAACAGCTCACAACACTCCAAGAAAGGGAAATCAGTGGCAACCTAGTTTGTGGCATCTGGTGATACACCAAGGAAGTGGAAACATCTGATGTGCGATTTGTGTGGAAGGAATCATCCTGGAGAATGCTGGCTTGCACAAGGATTATGTGTAGGTTGTGGTAAACCAGGACATTTCCAAAAAGACTACCCCACCAGTCCCGATGAGCCATTTCCAGCTGCTCCTGTTGCACCCAGTCAGCGTTCCATAGCAGGATCCAATCCTTTTAAAAACCAACAACAATGACAAGCTTCCCCCCAAACTTATGCAATGAAGGGATGCACTAAGGAGAACCCTGACGTCATTTCAGGTATGTTTTCCTTATTCAATACTATCATGCATGTGTTGATACTATCTATTTGCCCATGCCTGACAAATCTGATATCCTAAAAGAAAACTTAGAATATCCTATACAAGTGTCTAATCCATTATGACACGGTATGAAGTTGCTCCATGTGTATCAAAACTGTTCATTGATTGTTGAAGGATAGCAATTCTCTGTAAATCTTGTTAAATTACCATATAAGGAGTTTGATATTATCCTTGGTATGGACTTGTTGACTGAACATTAAGATGCTACTTAATGTGGTCAACGAACCCTCCAATTGAAGACCAAAAGTGGAAACTCTATAGAGGTGAATGAAAAGCTAATTCGCTAAGACAACAACCCCTTGAGTAACTTCCAAAGAGTAAAACATTCAAGGATGAAAACCTACGATTAGTGACGATAATTCGTATATGCTACATTCGTATCTTGTGACTCCTTTCATTGAAATACTCAAACTTACTGTGTTGATTACACCATTGATTTATAACTTGAAACATTCCACTTGACCAATCTCGAAGAGATTAAATTCCATTACTTCCTACTAATCATATTGATATACTGAACCATATAAAATTTTTCCTAAAGTCACATACCAATGAATCTCCATTAAACCAAAAAGATGCATTATGGTGATGATCTTTGAAAACCACATTCTGTCCACATGATTCGATCACAATGGTAAAGTACCCTGACTTAAATATTATGTTTAACCTCTCTCTGTAAACCTGAAAACGATCTACGCGATTACGTAATATCTTGAAAGAATTATTAATGACCAAAAAAATTTATCCTGACCCTAGTAAGGGAACGTGTGTACAACCACCAAGCTAAAGATATGAGATCAATTAAACCTATTGTTTTCAAAAAGATACCTTGATATACTATTTTCCAATCAAAGAAAGAAAGTCGAATGCGACAAAACAAAAAAGAGACGCCACTTGAACGTCATCACCTATGAATATGAATTGATACAGAAACCATTTTATGATAATAAGAAATATCATGAAGGTGAACGAAGAAAATGATTCGATGTAAGATCGATAATGACAGACTACTGTACAACCAATCGGCAGTAAATCCTCACAAATGGTAACAAATCCCACATCCTAAAATCCTTAACCACTAAATGTCATTTGATGTTACGAGTCATTTTTGAATTGTATGAATGATTTGAAGATTTCTTAAGTAATATGAAAGTTACATTATAGCGCATGAGTTAAAGCAACCACCAAACTATACCTCCCGTGAACTTGATAATTCGAAACTACAAAAAACATTTGGTCAAAGAAAGGATATCATTAACCAATGTCGTGTAATTGAGATTTTTGGATGAAGAAAGTTATGTGCAAACATGTCAAGTATGCTCCAAACTACGATGTTATACACTACAAAGAAACCTTAGTTGTTGACGCTGAGTCTAAAAGGATCCTACAAAAAGGATCTTGGATACCTTGCTTAATCAAAGAATATTAATCTTTCGAAGATAGAACGAGTTTGATGACATAAATGGTTTGAGAATACATATCCGTGGGAATAATGACGTATTTGTTATTTAATTGAATGAACATGACGAGATCATGTGACATGATTAACGTGAATACCAACAAGAATTTCAAGGAAGAAATTCCTTTAAGCGGAGAAGAAATATAACGCCCCAAAACACACCTTAAATTATTATTGGATTATTATTTTATTAAACAAATTTGTTTCGATTAAAATAAATTATTGTTGGGCTTTGGGCCAAAATGAAATGTGTTTTGATATCCAATATCACAAAATGGATAAATCTTGTGGATATAAATCTAAAATGAAAATTGTTTGAGTGATATTGATTGGGAACCAGAGTGCAGACCCAAATAAGGAATAACTAAAGAATTTGATTTATGATGTGAACTTTTGAGAGGATTAATTGAAATAAATCATGAAAATAAATAATATGAATTGAGTATGAGAATCTTTCGAATAAAAGATTGAATAAATCAATTTTGACTATGTCAAAGTCGAACACCCAAAAATATGATGCCAGAAAAAGTATTACAAATAAATATAAAAATTATATCGTTAGATATAGTTTGAATGTCCGATCGCAATGGTGCAAACGGAATTTAATTTGAAGAAAGTTGGACCAAAAAGTGTACCCCGACAGGGACCAAATTAGTCCCAATTAGGGAGAAGCGTATGAGAACAAAATTGAAGCGCAGCCTAGCGCACTAAGCTGTTCGAGAATGACGCTGACCTGTCTTCTTCTTCTACTTCTTCTTATATTAGCAACTCCCATTCTCTCATTTCTTCACTATTCTTTTTCATTCTTCTTCCATTCTATTCTTAAGAGTATAGAGAGTCTAGTAGTGTTGTTGGGAGAAAGAAAGGTTGCCGGAGTTAGGAGTAATCCTCGCTGAAAGTTTCACCTGAATTTCCCAAAACCTCCATTTAAGCCCAAGGTAAGCCCTTAGATATATCTAGTGATTAGAATGTTTGTATACATCATTTCTACGTTCATAAATGGTCATTTGGTTGAGTTTTGTGTTTGACTTGCTTGAAGAACCAAGAATCATAAACCTTTAGTTTATTGTTAAAACATCAAATTACTGATACCAAAATGATCTATGAATCTTGGAGAGCATTTCTATATAGTTTAATTGAGGTTTGGTGATTTAAAAAGATCTTTTCAAAAATGGACCCAAGGAAGAAGACGATGAACAGTACCCTCCGATTTTTGAACTATTAAATCCTATTTTTGATACCAATCAATTATGATCAATATGAATATGATTTATGGAAATAAAATGATGTTTTTACATATTCAAAAACTTTATTTGATGCATGAAGGTAAGCTAGGATGTTAACACTCGATGCTAGGCCGCTATTTGTTAATGAATGTTATGATAACTACTATTGAATATTTATTATGATCAAAACTTGATAATATTATAATTGAATGATTATTATAATGGATAAACCATAATGAAATGTCATTGATAATAAATATTGATTATGACGATCAAATGGATGACCCAACTGATTATGACTACATAATGATAACGATATTATTTTGACAAAATAATAAAATATGGTAATGAATGAATAAACCGTAAAAATGAAATTGTGAATATATATGTTTCTTTGATTATCCTGATGATGATTATGAATTAATGAACCATGATTCATAATGAATAGATTGATGAGCAAGAAAATGATGTGTAGGGTATCTAGAAGAACTCTAAGATATACGCATTTAGATAATTGATGTTAAGGCTATCTAGAAGACCTCTAGGACAGACCTCAGATTAGAATGGACTTATGACACTATGTATATTCGGTGATTTGAATAAGAATATGTAAAAGGGATTCATAGGCCAAACTAGAGGATCACTCATTTGAGAATACCCCGATCCGATGATGATTAATTGTTATTCTGTTGTTGCCTTAACTGACTACAGTTAAGCGTCAGGAAATGTATTGCCTTAAACTAATTATGGTTTAAGCGTCAGGATTTGAATTGCCTTAGCTGATTACAGTTAAGCGTCTGGAAATTTATTGCCTTAAACTAATCATAGTTTAAGCATCTGGAATAGAATTGCCTTAAACTAATTATAGTTTAAAAGTCTGGTTGTCAATTGCCTTAAACTAGTCATAGCTTAAGCGTCTAGTTACTAATTGCTCTTTAAGAGTTTGATTATGAAATGTGGATTTGGCCTTAGACTAAGAATAGTTAAGAGTGTTATTATGATTTAGTCTTAGACTAAGATTAGCTAAGAGCTTTGTTATTATCATTGGCCTTAGATTAGGAATAATTTAAGAGCACTGTCGAAATAATGAATATCTGATTTGAATAACATGTATTGATATAAACTAAACAATATCAAAATCATGAATGGTGAATATTTAAATTGAACATTATTTGCATGATATTAAATAATTTGATTATGAATTGAGATTTAATTTATATGGATGTTCATGCATTAGATATGCTTACTCAGCTTCAACACTAAGCGTGTAGTATGTTTTTTTGCTACACGTACGTAGGTAAATAGTAAGAATGATGTGACATGATCTTGGAGGAAGACGGAGGCGAGATAGTTGGGATGGATGTGATGGTTTTGAATTGAAGAACATAAAGAAATTATGTTTTGTGATTGTGATTTGTTAAGCTTTCGCAACATTGAAAACTCCGCACTATTATGTTATGAAAAATATTATTGTGATAAATAAAAGTGTTTGAAATGTTTTAAATTTTTACGATTACCAAGTTAATACTTTATTCCAAAAGGGGCTGTAGACCCTGACGAATTAGGGTGTTACATTAATGATTGCATTTTATATCGAAATGAGTTCTAGGATCTCGACGAATGTACCAAGTGTTTTGCTCCAAGATACAAGGAGTCGATCAAAATTTCATAACAAGGACAGTCTGAAAAGTATCAAAAAGACTCCGGTTAAGGTTTTGCGATACCTTCAAATAATACCAAGGTTCAAGCGTCTGTTTGCTTCGATAAAAGATGCAAAGAATCTACTGTGGCACACAAAGCAGTGAAAAGATAATGGCACCCCTGCGTCATCCTGCTGATGCCCCACAGTGGAAGACGATTGACTACACATTTCCTAAGTTTGGGAACGAGGGGAGAAACCTTCGATTCGAATTTTGTACTGACGGGATCAATCCTTTTGGAAGCTTGAGTACGCAACATAGTACTTGGCCGGTAGTGCTTGTCATTTACAATCTTCCTCTAGAGTTGTGCATGAAGCGCAAGTACATCATGCTATCGTTGTTAATACCTAGACCTAAACAACTGGGTAATGACATTGATGTATTCGTAGCCCCAATGATTGATGACTTGAAGGAAATGTGGATTCATGGTGTCACATTATTTGATGCTTATCGTTAAGAGTGTTTCACGTTACGTGTTATGATTCTTCGGACATTCAATGACTACCCATCATATGGTAACCTATCTGGTTATAAGATTAAGGGAAAATATGCATGTTCGATATGTGAGGAGAATACTTATAGTGTGTGGCTAAAGAACGGGAAGAAAACAGTCTTCTTAGTTCATCGCCAATTTTTAAAACGTCAACATCCTTACCGTCGCATAAGAAAAGCTTTGAATGGTCAAGCAGAAAATGAGGTTGCTCAGAAAGTATTGACTGACAAAACATTGCATGAAAAGTTGAAGAACATAAATCATACATTTCGTAAGACACAGAAAGTTGATCCAAACGGTCCAATTTGGAAGAAAAGATCAATATTTTGGGAACTACCTTATTGGGAGTGCTTATCTATCACACATTGTCTTGATATGACGCATATAGAAAATAATGTATGTGATAATCTTATTGGCACCCTCTTAAATGTTCTTGACAAGACTAAAGATGGTGTTAATGCTAGAAAAGACTTAATAGACATGGGCATTCGAATTGAGCTTAGACCGCAAGAAAAAAGACATCTTACATCTCTTCCATCGGCTTTCTACACACTCTCTAGAGAAGAAAAAATAACTCTTTTTCAATTTCTACGTGATATAAATGTTCCACAAGGGTATCCTAGAAACATTAAGATTCGTGTGTCGATGAAGGCTTTGAAATTGAACAGTCTTAAATCTCACGATTGCCATGTACTTATTCAGCATTTTTTGCCATTGGCAATTAGATCAATATTGCTAATGAATGTGAGGGGGACAATAATTAAACTTTGTTATTTTTTAACGCCATTTGTAGTAAGGTCATTGATACTGAAACATTAGATCGGTTACAAGAGGAAGTGGTAGTCACCTTATGTCAATTTGAGATGTTCTTTCCTCCATCACTTTTTGATATCATGGTCCATTATTTAGTTGTGCATTTGGTCTGAGAAGTTAAACTTTGTGGCCTTTTTTTTCCTCGGTACATGTATCCCTTAAAGATATTTATGAGTATTTTGAAAAGATATGTGAGGAACCGGCATAGACCTAAAGGCAGTATTGTTGAAGGATATTTGGCAGAAGAGATTATTGAATTCTGTAGCAAGCATTAGAATTTGGAGTGTACGGTTGGGGGACCAAAGTATCGGCATGAAGGTAGAACTGAGGGGAAAGGAACAATAGAACATCACATCATCCATCTTGACTCTTATGTGTTCAGTGTAGCACAACTCTATATCTTACAACAAACGGATGATGTTCGTCTGTATTTAGAGAAACACGTGTCTCTTTTAAGACAAGAGAACCCTGGAAAAAGTGAGAGGTGGTTGACAATTGAGCACAATCGTATATTTCTAAAATGGTTTCAAGAGTATGTTCACTGGCAAATAGTACATTCTCCTCATCTTATCACAAAAAATGTGCGATCATGTGCTATGGGACTGTCGGTAAATGTATCTTCTTACGAGGGGTATTACATGAATGGCTATTATTTTTACACAAAAACGTCATGATGAGAAGAGTACATTACAGAATAGCGGTGTGTCCTTGAAAGCTTCTCCGCTACACATTCCTAGGGGTAAAGATTTGACACCTATCTGCTCATACAAAACATACTATTGCTTGATCGAGGATATATGGGAACTCGAATATATGAACTTTACAATTCTTGTTTTTCAGTGTAAATGGGTGGATATCAATAAGTGGATTAAATCAGATGACATGGGGTTTAAATTAGTGAATTTTAAGAAAATATGGCCTCCCAAGAGACGCAAATTTATTACATTGTTGATCCTAAAGATAAAAATTGGTCTGTTGTTTGAAAAAAGAAGAGGTCATCATTTGAGTTGGGCGACTGTTTATACGATGAAGCAACTCATATTTTGATGATTGCGCCAGACTCAGAAGTAGATGATATAGGAGCAAAATACATTCGCGAAGATCACGAAGAAGGATTGTGGATAGATGGGGGAAAGAAGAAGTTAAAGTAATGCTCTAGGTATTTTTTTCTGTTTATAATGATCATTTTCATTTAATTCATTGTTTTTTCCCTTTAATTAAACTTATGTTATGCATGTTGTTTTGAATTTCTGCAGGTATGGCAGACGAACAGAAGAAGAAAAAGGTTAAAGGTGCAAGAAAGTGCGAGAAGCTGTATAAGAGGAAGAGGGGGGGTTAGCCGCCTATAGATCTTGAGTGGAAGGATGGGGAACCTGTACATGGACTCTATGTTACGGATTTTAATGGGCTTGTAGGGTTTGAGGCCCGATCGAGAGTGCCGATTATATATAATGACTGGAGATATGTCTCGAAAGACTTGAAGGTCATGGCACTAGACGGGGTTCAGGTATGTATCATTTTTTATAGAAAAGAGTATCCTTATCTGCTAACTTTACTTTTTTACATGGTTCTATATATAATAAGTTGTTGCTTCATTTTTTTGTAGAATATATTTGAGATACTGACCGGTGGGGTTCGGTATCTCAAGACGATTGCTGGGGCGAGATTTCTCGCTTGACGGAAGGTGGAGATCATTACGGTGAGACTCCCTTTCTACGTTACAACTACATAGAGCGAGAGCATTGGGAGGAGTTTCAGATCCTGAACGAGACTCTAGAAGCTATGGTAAAACATCATTAAGTTCTTTGAATAAAATTAACTAAAACGAAAGTTTTAACAATTATTTTTAGGCCCTGATTCAGGCTAACAGGGAGCTACAGAAAAAGAATCCTTATCCGCACTTTATGGGCCGGGGTGGATATTCCATGCTTCACCATGAGTTGGCTGCTTCTTAGGCCACGACTTCTGCCGATATCACCGATTCGGCTACCGAGACGGGTTCTCAGCTCGGACGAGAGGACTTTTGGTTGAGAGGTCACACCCCGGGGAGAGAGCCAGAAGGTACGGACCATGCGCTTATGGAGATTCGTGATAGGATAGTAAGCTTATAATCTACATTAATGTCAATATATCTGTTTATTAATAGTTTGTTATTTGCTTACAATTTCTTTCCTTTTTTTATTTCTTAACTTTCAAAGGTTCAGCTGAAGGAAGAGGTGGCTGCTGGTACCTTTTTGCTAGAGGGGCACAATGATGTACTGGCTAGAGCTTTAGGGACTGCTGAGCACCCGAGGTGGACGAGGGGTGTTGGTTCATACGTGGCTTACGTAAAATATTCAAAGGCAACATGAAACCCCGTAAGCCCGAAGGTAACTATATGACTGAGCAGGATCTTTTGCAGTGTCTTCCTTCCCTTTGGCAGAAGTATGGACTATCTTTGCTCGAGGGTGCTCTAGAGTTTGAATCCATGTCGCAGCATACACCTTTTGTATCACCTCATCATGGGTAGCGTCTACTGATTTTGTTGACTTCGCCGAAGTACATATATTGTTTAATTTAAGTTTCAAGTTAGGTTTGCGTTTACTTGTTTCCAACATTATTTAACTAATTTTTTTTATAGGTTGCTGCTTGTTACTTGAGGATCTCTGATCCAGCCGATTATATAGTGGCACATGGATCGGTTTTCCCACGTGCACCGGGAGATGTGGTGCACGGTGTTCCCCTCCTTCCCCACCAGGTTAAGGTCGCTGTGACCTTGGTTCTTCCTAGAATGGGTGAATATCCCATTCCTTGTCCCACTGAGCACATAGAGACCGTCGTAGATTGGGAGGGGAGCTTCGTCGCATGGCCAAAGTCGTTAGTGGGCCTTGGAATGTAAGAAGTTAATAAATTTAATTCTTTTTTATTCAACATCATTTGGGCCGTGTTTCACATGTCTTTTTTTGCAAATATTCATAGCCCCCGGTGCACACGGCTCAACAGGGCGACTTCTCATGAAGCAAATCTCGTCCTATTCTCCGCGTACGCCCCACTGCTACTCCTAGCTCTCTCGTACAGGATGTTGTTGACCGGAGCATGTACGCTTCTTTTGGGGCGAGATGTAGAGAGTTTTGGTAGTGGCTGACACGCACATCTTCTTTGCCTACCATCAGCGTCATTCTCAATCCCGAGTTCATGCTCTATCCGGAGGAGACGGAGCTGAGGATGCGACCCGAGAATATACGTGAGTTCATGCGATGGGAGGAGGTTGATCAGACCATCATCATTGTTTTCTTGAGGTATGCCAAGCACTACGTTTGAATAAAATGCAATCATGTTCTAATTATACAAGAGTTTATGTGATGTATGTTATAATTATTTGTTATAATTGTAATTATTATTTACCTGTGAAATAACTAGATTGTTGCACGATCATATGATGGAGCACGACATCATGACTGTCGGGTTGTTATGTCCGGAGAATATTGCGTACGTGGTAGATTATGGAGATCGCCAATATCTGGATAGAGCACTCGAGTCCTATCAATCGCGGCTTTGGATACTTATGACATTATATCTCTCAAAATCGTATGTTTTCTAAACCATTTTTAATGTGTATTCTGGTTTTTTTATATTCATTATGAAGCTAATGGCTAACGCTTTTTCAATTTTAGGCATCATTGGGTGTTAGTTGTAATACGCTTGTTTGAAAACAAAGTGTATTTCTTTAACTCACTCAGCGCGACCGGAGGGCATAAGCAAATGAAAGTGAAGACTTTCGTACACGAGTAAGTATTAAGACATTTATTTCTTATTGATGAAAACTTCAGCATTTTTTGAAGAAGAATTCTATATGTTGTGACTTTCAACCCCCCCCCCCCCAAAAAAAAAAAAAGCCCCGTGACCTCAATCAATCACATACGCATTCAGTATGATATTTGGGGACAAACATGAGAGAAGCTTAGGTGCATGGTAAAAATATTCACATTTTTTCGTGTGAATCCTACAAAAGTATGGGTGCATTCTACAGTATAGGTTGTTGATTCCATGAGTTTACTCTTATGGGAAAATAAATTCTTCAGAATTATAAAGAGGTGCAATTCTAGAGCAATCACTGAGTTTACCCGTTGTTGCAAGAAAGAGCATGGTTTCAGCTAACAATGGAATACTGCGCGCTACAAGAGCAGATAGAAATACATCAATAGTGCATAAAAGGAATTTTAACGAATGCCAGGGACCAACCAACCAATGCTATTTCCTAAGGTATACGGATCGGAGTATGTTTTGACGAAAAATATTCACCTATCATCTAGTCACTAACTTTGGCTAGAATCAATAGTAATACACTTGTGAGGGAATTAGTTATACTTCTCAGCCTCCAGTGTTGAATACTTACTATGTATGAGCATCGGGTTACTCAGTTCAGCTAAGAGATAGACAGAGGCTAAGAATTATGCATCCAACACAGATAGATCATCAGCAGCAGCTCTGTCTTGCTTTCTTGTTCTTTTTTTCCTCTTCCTCTCAGTTTGGGGTTCTTTCGCTTTTAAGTCATCACGGAAGGATCTCAATGTGGCAGCAAGATGCTCGTTTCTATGTGCTTTGAAATGGAAACATACATGTATTGGTTATAAGCTACATAAAGATGGTCTTATTAACAGACAAGTAACTAATAATAGTAATGCGGAGGAGCAGTAAAAGACAATATCAGATTAAAGAGCCCTCATTTCATAAATTTCATAGTATGAGGGAGTAAAGCAGCAATAGATGAACTTCAAGCAAACAG